AATTAGAGTAAATAATGAATGCGATATTATTAGTTTTGTATTTGAAGTGAACTGAGGAATTATCGAGGCCACCGCGCCGTCATACTGTGACCCACAACGGAGCCTTTAGAACTTCTTTTTTCGGCTTTATTTTATGCATTATTTAAGGCGGCGGTTTGTGAAACAGTGACCTACTATGGAACAGACTATTTTTAACACCAATTACCGCCTCCCGCCCCACCTCACCCTGTTTCTGGGAGAGACACGGAGATGGAGAGATATTTCATTTGAGGTAGAAAGTAGCTTTTTTTTGTTGTTTTTTTTTTTCTTGCACATTGCTGCACCGACCTGCTATCTCCCCATCCCCTCCCATGATCAACACACAGCATCTCGGCGGTAATAGAGTGTGGGAGGTGGCGTCTCTCTTCCCTTTCCTGCTCCTCGGTTCAATTAGAGGAAGTCTGTCGGCCTCTGCTGTGCCGAAACCTCCACGAAGCCAGATAACAATTTCTCGTCCCAATATAGACTCTCGCAGGTTAAGAGCCTCGAACACCTCGAGTCTTGAATTAGCAACAAGTGGACCCAAGTGGTCATCAGTAGTCCCTCCTAATATGGTGGGTATCACACAGGGGGACCAGCCAGATTCTATATAAAGCCTCCTCTTCCTCCTTCCTCCGATGATGAAAACAATCAGGTGGACACGAGACGATAAGGATTAAGAGGCGACAACGACCTCCGGGGGAGACGCTATCAGTCAAATTAGTGCATTAATGGCTTCAAGGTCAGGTGTCGGTGCTTTTAAGAGACGAGTCACGCTTTTAGCAAGCTCTCCGCCAGAAATCCGCACGCAGATTCAGGGTTTAAGTGGGTGAAAGTGTGCCAGCGTGGCGCGATAGCCGAGGTGACGCCCCTCGTGTCGCACAAACCTCCTCCATCCGTCAGTCCTTCAAAGGGCAAACAGCTAATAAGTGTGTTTTAAAGCATTTTTCATTCTCTCTAATAACCTTGCTCGCTTTATTTTTAGCAGCTGAAGAGGAGGAAGGGCTTCATTCACGCAGAAGTCATTCACAAAGACGCACTTGTTGATGCAGAGGAAGAGTCTTCACTGTGAAATACCGATTAGAAATTCAAGATGTGTTTATTTGAATCAACAGAAAACAGAAAGTGTTGGATAAATTCTCCCCAAGCTGGAAGAATCAGTCAAAAAGCACCTTTTTTTTTTAATGTCTTGGGATTGTGACTGGGGTTTTGTTGTGGGGACGGTTGTAGGTGTTGGATGATGCATCAGGAGAGGTTGTTAAAATGACAACTCCTCTCCACCTCCTCTGGGAGACTGACAACTACGAGCTGTTATTTAGATTCATGGAATATGTTTCTGCTGCTTAACAACACGGCTTGTTTTACCTGTTGGGGGCCTTCGGGGCAAAGCCGGGTCCTGCTGTAGTCGACACACACACAGCAAACCAAACAGCGGTCTCATGTCGGCACAGCGTTGCCTCGACTTTGTCGTAATTTCTTTTTACAGAGCTTTGTTTCTGAAGAAGCAACAATAGAAATGAAAGTGATGACGCTGGTGCAGGAACCTTAACAAGAAGTTCTGTTTTACAAAGAAGTCATTGGAGTGGAGTTTGTATGTTCTCCCCGTGCAGCGTGGGTTCTCTCCGGGTTCTCCGGCTTCCTCCCACACAGTCCAAATGAATGTGAGTGTGCTTGGTTGTCTGTCTCTAAGTGTAGCCCTGTGATAGACTGGTGACCTGTCCAGGGTGTCCCCTGCCTTCACCCTGAATCAGCTGGGATAGGCTCCAGCCCCCCCACGACCCTAGTGAGGATTAAGTGGTGCATGGATGATGGATGGATGGATAGTTTTAGTTTATTTTAATATAAATTTAACATAATATTGTGAATATATTTCTAATATTAAACTACAATTGGATACATTACTTACTTTGCTAGCCACTTATATTTACATATTTAAATATCCCTCATTAAACAATAAAAAGCAACAAAAACAAAGAAATAAAGGTACACATGATCTTATATAAAATTAGTGCAAAAAATAATAAAAAAAAAACAAAAAAAAACAAATAATGAATAATTACTGTACCTTAATGAACTGGTTATTATGCATTATTTTACCTTATTTGCTTATTTATTTATCAGTATTTTTGATGTCCCAGGTGCTGAAATATTGTTTTTTAAATATAGAATTTTTCAAACTAATTTAGTTCTTTTACAGTGTACGGCGTGGATGTAAGTCCCATATTCTAGCTCTGTTCTCATCTTCACCCACTCCTGAGTGGAACTATTTGGCTGTTTTGGACTGTGAAGGTAGAGTGTACACTAGCATTCTCAGAACTTTTTTTTAAAAATTGAAAACACCTGCCTACTACTTTCTGGAAACACAAATCAATGGGAATAAACCAAAAGTGTGAATTTATGGGTCAGAAAATCAAATAAAGACGTTGAAATATAGTTTTAAAAGCAACTTAAAGCTGACGTTAGAGTCAGGGGACAGCTCTCTGTGGATACAGATGACCTCTTTCACATCACACATACACACCAGTTCACCGGTTACATAAAAATATTTAGTGTAACTTGAAAGTGCATCATATTTTAACACCAGTTCCATAATGTAGAATTCACTGCTCCTGTTGAATCAGAATCTCCACATATTGACTCAGAAATGCAGTGTTCCTCCATTTGTTTTCATGCACATCCTAAGTATCTTGGACTCCATCTCCTGCAGCAACAGGAATGTTTTGCAGTCTTCTCTCAGTAATGAACAGGCTGACTTGTGTCCCCTCCCTGTCTCATCTCCTATTCTCCCTTCTCTTCGTTACTAGCGGGGTCAGCGGCGTGACCCGCGGCGCTGACGCACGTATCCGTCAACAGTTGGCGAGTGGCTGTATGCTGGAGCTGGATTGGCTCCATCGGAAACAATATGCATTCACGGAGCCTCGCAATATGCCGCATGCAGCTGTATGTTTTTACGCATATGCTGCCGTCCCCGTGTGCTTACGCGCATTTTTACTGCTCCGGATTTCAATTACGGCTCAAACCTGCCTGTCTGGCCCCATGTTGGTGATGAAATGCCAGCCGGTGTGACAGGAGCAGGTGGATATTATGCTAGTGGAGCAAATGTGGTAACGGAGGCCTGCGGGAGAAAGAGACAGAGAGGGGAAGTGGGGGAAATATTAACGGGGGAATAAAACGATGGTGACAGCAGAAAATGGAGGCGAGCTCCAACATGGTGCTTATGGATTTATCTGCCTTGTGTGGAGCGGGAGGAGAGGAAATAGAGAGATTGGTGTATCACTGCAAGTCTCTGGGTGACATTTTGTCACTCTGTCATCACTCTTCCTGGTCACCGGCATGAGGAACACGTGTAATACCTTCATGATCTCCGCTTTGTGCATCAGGTGTGAAACCTGTCACAATCCTACGAGATTCATCAAATCGTTTTATTCACGTAACTTCCTACGATTTGCAAAAGCATTTGTCTTCAGACGCTCCAGCAGCTTGGATATTAACTCAAAAACTTTCTGTTAGGACTAAAAAAATAAAATAAAATCCTGTTTTTCTTGAACAAGTTTTTCTCTTATCTGTTTTAACTTATCAGTTCCATTGTGGAGATCTGGGATTGCGGCGCAGTAAACAAAAGCCAACTTTAAATTGGCTCCCCAACCAAGTTATTTGGAAGTGAAAACAAAACCCTTCCACTGTTTTACAAAACTGCGAGCTAAACGAGGCCATTAGTGGAAATCCACCATGCCCCAGCAGTTCACTCCTCACAGTTCCCCTGGTTAGGGAATGCAAATTTCAAACACTTTCCTTCATCCGTTCTTTTAAGCATGTTAATGATAAACAAAAGCCTAATCCAGAACAGATCGGGAAATACAACATGCAGATTTGCTTACGGCAGTTTGGTTTCAGTGTCAAAGTGGTTTTCAATCAATGAGGCAAGAAAAAGGAAAAAAATGTTCAAATTAAGTATTTAGCTAAACTTGATGTTCGTTTAAACTCTGATGTGAACTGAATTACACACAAAAAACCTAGTAGTGATGTTAGCGTGTGTAAATCAGCAGGTGACTTCATGCTGATCTTCATTACTATTAATCTGTAATATTAGAAGCTGTTTCTTCATCATCAGCATCAGTCTTTACATTATATGGAATGAAAATGCACCAACTTGTTGTTTCTTGGTGGTTGTGGCTCAAAGCAGATTGTCTTTGAATTTTAATGTTGTAGGTTTGGTAGCTCACTGTAAAAAAATAAATCATTTTTAACATTTTTTTGTTGTTGTTTTTAAAAACAAATAAAACAATCTACAGTGAGTTCATGGATTTTACCTTTTTTGTGCGACTACAGTTAAGAACAAGTAAAAATCAAAAGAAGAAAAATATTCCTTTTATGTAAAACTGTAAATTATGTTCACAATGAAAATCAGCATTTTTACAAATGGTAATTTATTTTTAACAACAATACACACACGCGCACACACACACGCGCACACATATATATATATATTTATGTGTGTATATATATATATTTTACTGTATTTAATAATGCAGGTACTTTATAGATATTTGCTGTTTTTTTTATTTTCAGGATTAAAAATAGTAAATTATTTTTATTTATTATTTTAATAAAAAACTAGTATTTTGTCATTTATTTTACAGATTTTCCCAGTTTTATTAGACAACAGATAATACTTAGTAAAATCACAGGAGATAAAAATGATTCATTTACATGTTATCTGTAGAAGTTTAAATAAAAAAGCAAGTGAAAACTGTAATCAACCATCTGTACAAACAGTAATTCATTTTTTGTGTGACTGTGCAATTGCACTACTAAATTTCATTGCATTTAAATCAGCTAAAATACCATTATTATTCAGGATATTTGTTGTTCTTTTCACTTTATGCATTGTTTTGTTTTGTTTTTAATTCCTACAAGTGTGTTAACTGAATGTTTTCATGTGCAGGTTCCTCTTGTACCTCTGAAGCGCCCACCCTGTAGCCGGCGCTGTGGCTTAGTTGGTGAAAGCGCCTGTCTCTAGTAAACAGGAGATCCTGGGTTCGAATCCCAGCAGTGCCTTGAATATTGTCTTGACAAAAAAACACATCTTTAAGGGGCCTAATGTTGGAGGCTCCGGGTTACTACCCAGAAGTCTGGGGTTTAAGCCCCAGTGGTTAGCCCTGAACTCTGTCTGCTGCTGGGCCGCCTTATCACGGCGAACCCAGACCGCAACTCCGATAAGTGGAAAGAGTAGTCCACGGCGCCGTAAGGTATTCGTGATAAATAAAGGTTTCTTATTATTATTTCTCCGGAACTTTTGGTGACATAAGCAAGATAAATGTGCTGTAAAGTGCAGTCAGGGGAATCTGACTTTTCTCACATCGGTCCATGTTGTGCTGATTATGCAGGATAACAATATTAAAAGTGTCCAGTCAGTGAGTTACTTGTATTTAATAAGAAATAAGTTTTAATCCTCTGGGGCAGAAAAAAAAAGAGTCTGTGAATGCAAAACAAAGACAGTAATGTTGTGTCTTCTTTAACTATGCTGAGCAAAAGAAACGATAAGTACAATTATTTAGTTTTTTTAAAGAAACAGCCCAAAACTTAACTTTTCTCTGAATTTTGCAAGTTCAAGACAGGTTGCCGATCGATTTTCTTGAGGTGCTGCGTCTCATGTGCCCCTCTGATGACTTGAAAACACCTCCAACGATGTGTTTTTCTCCGTCACCTCCAGCTCTCCTTGGCGGTGCATCCACACAACACAGCATCTGCAACGGGGACTGCCTGATAATAGAATTAGATACTGAGCTCTTTTCCCTTCAATTATCTGCTTGCTGCTTCATGTTAAGACTCCTGCTGCTACTCAGTCAACCCTTCTTCCCAACATCCTGGAGGGGGGATGAGTTGAAATGCCGTATCGATTTCTACCACGTCTCACATTGTTGCATTCAGTGCTTGGCTGGTTTGGGTTGTGTTACTTTAATTCTTTTTCAGGCTCTCGTTCTCTCTCTCTCTCTCTCTCCAGGAGACAAAGCTTCACTGTACCCTGTCAGATAAAATAGGCAGAGTCTATAAAAGACCAAGGAGGAGAAAGTAACTACACCAGTTAAAAGAAGAAGAAGAAGAAAAAAAAAATCAACTCTGGTTGGTGAGCAAAGATGAAGAACAGGAGTAAGTGAAAATTCATAAAATTCAGAAACATCAAAGCCCTTTGTAAAACTATCTCCTCAACCCAAAGGGATTTGATTTTATTTCTTTTTCCTGTTCTTTTTTCTTCTCTCTTTGTTCTCTTGCGTTTCACACTTTTCATCTCCGTTGTCCTGGACAATGAGAAGGTTTCAAGTGATTTCACCGTCAGCGTGAGAAATGATTGTGAAGCTTTGCATTCAGATGCAAACAGGTTGCCATCGAAATCTGGGACTCTCCACCGTAGCTACTTGTAATCCAGGAGCCACACCATGTCTCACAAAACGATAACTTCTTTTTAACTTTTATTAGTTTAAATTCTTGGCAACTCCACCTAATTGTTGGCTAATGCTACAATGAGCAATGAGGTGGAACATGAGTGAAGCGAGGCCGATGGACAGTCCACTGCAGAAGTGACAACGCATTGTGCACAACTTTAAGCTTTAATATTGCTTAAATCGGAGAGTTATATACAAATTCACCCCCTGCACAGTTGTCATGAATGGGAAAACTGGCTGCAGAGACCAAAACTGTTTTATATACCAGGCCATAAACATGTTAATTCTGCTGTAAAAATTGGACATTTTAACATGGTGGTCTATGGGGATTGGCTCTTATTTGAAGCCAGCCTCAAGTGGCCATGTGAGGAACTACAGCTTCTGGCGCTTTCACATCGACTCACTTTCTCAGACCTAGGGGTTTCTGCTTGATATTTTTTTGTCCCTGTGATGTTAAAGAAGTGTTGACAGAGCCACACAGTGTACGTTAGGAGGTGGACGCATTGTTATGCAAAAGACCTTTCACCCAGGAGCCTGTGGAACCATTATTCTTAGAATTAGGCTAAGCTTTGTTTTCACTTACTGTTTATTTAGGTTTAGGCATGAACCCCACTTGGTTAAGTTTGGGAAAATGTCATGCTTTATGTTAAACATGAATCTTTCACATCGTTGAAGCTTCTTCTTCATATTCTGGGTTACAGGGGTAACAGGTCCTACTTCATCTAATATACGATTGCTTGACTGAAATGGCATTACAGCAAATAGCAAAGATTAGAACCACATTTGTGATACGTCACAAAGAAACACAATTTTGGAGGAAAAAAACATTAACATCAAACTATGACTGGGGATGATGTAATGCAACTGAGAATACAGTTTAGTTATCACTAAATATAGCTAAAAGTATTGGTTGAAGTAGCTAAAAGTAATGGATTAACAACTGGGATCGGTGAGAGCGATGGTTAAAAAGTCCATCTACTCACAACTAGATGTTACTGAAGGACCCGTCTGTGGAAAATCAGGTTCTATTTACCTTGTTAGCATGTCTGTATAGTGTTTTTAATATACAAGAAGACACTTCAGAAATAGTTTCCAGTTCAAACATGTGGCTAAATTCTGCCACTGTTACCATTTTCCATTGTATAACAATATATATGGTGAGCTGGTGTGTTTGAGCTGCACTGAGCAGCAGGAATGGGTAGAGACAGACAGTCGCTTCAATGATCTGCATTCTAGTGGAAGGTAGAAATGGATTATCTTCATGGGGAAAATAAAAACTTATGTAACTTTGATCCATAGAGATGTGTTTTGGGGGTTAAATCAATGACCAGATCTCATTATGATAATATAAAATTAGCACAGCTGGAACATGAATCTGGGGATACATCAAATAAAATAAAAGTTTGAAGCCACTGATCTAAAAACTTTGAATCTATTGTGAGCCAGAGAACACAGGAGGGGATCTGAACATGCCATTTGATATTTCTGTCTATCACCGTCTCACTGTCCTGCATTAAAATACATAAATTTCCCTTTTTAATTCGCCCTGCTCAAGGACCCTCTGGGATGCTCGGGCTTCACATATCCTCAGATACTGAGGAAACAAATGGGGAACAGCAGGAAGGTCTGCCTTGCTGTGATGTCCCTCCTTATGCCACCACTCATTCCTCCCTCCAGGTGCACAAATGAAGAACAGGCTCGCCGTGCAGCTCACCGGCTTTGTTTAAAGTGCAGAACTTGAAAGGCTGCAGACCTTCCCCCTGTTAATTAGGCAATTGAGAGATCTAAGGCACGGGGGGTAATTTGGGTTAAAACAGCAACGTGTGTCAAGCATTTATCTAAATGGCATTTGCCATCCACAACAAAGGTAGAGGGCAGCTGTGATCTGAATACAAGCTCTTTCAATATTTCCTCTGCTTACACAATGCGCCACTGTTCATGAGTAGGTGTTGAGTGGATTGGCTGACTTGCCGGGGTACGTACTGTTCCCTCTGCTCAGTATGCCCAAGTAATGAATTAGATCTGAATGAAGGCTACAGTTCGATTAGTTGATTTACTTTCTCTCAGACTGAGATTTCCTTCTCATCTCCCGCACCAAAATTTGGTTTGCAGAGGGGAGGGGAAGAAACAGCAATGGGGAAAAAAGGAGGCAAAAATGATTGATTTTAATGGATTTTGCTGGAGGAAAAATGAACCGAGTTCATTAAATAACAATGAGAGAGCATCACAATGTAACTTCAAACGATCCCTTTATGAGTAGGCTGTTTTTCTGTGGCGCAGGCACAGCAGCCATTTAATAACTTGTCTGTTATTCATGAAAGAAGCAACCGTAACCTTGAACAAACCTTGTTTTCAAAGAAATTAATTTATAGCTCAAAAAGGAAGGAGGAAGAAACTCATATGGAATATTGCCCTAAGCTCCACTATATCTTGACTTGAGTGGTGGCATCTCTGTGGAAAATATGTTGAAATTCATTTCAGCTGTGCTTTATATTTTTTATAAATTGTCGAGGTGTAAAAGGTGTGCTCTGCAAACAGTGTGGCTCAAACATTGCTGTACTTGTTTATTAGTTTTGGTCCTTACAGAAAAAAAAAAAAAAAGAACTTTCATTTTCTGTAATTGAGCACAACTGCTGTGTTCCTCAGTGACTTGCGGAGCAAATGAAAGTCATGCTTCAGTACAGAAGTGAAAGTCTTTTGGAGGGTAAGGGGGTTAACTGTTTAAATTACATCCTCTCATGTCTAATTAGATCTAGTTAGACTTGTGATTCACTGAATCAACAATTCTTATTTGTCTGGAAACTTCTCAGTTGCATTTCTTCCTACCTGGGAATTTACTTCAACTGTTCAACAAGTTTTCAGCCAGAATAGATTGTCTGCTTTCATAACAACCCATGGTTTAAATCACTTAAGTGTAGAAGCTCTCCAATGAATTGGCAAACTATCAAGGCGGAGGCGTTTGTGTCCCAGTGATTGAGAGAGCTACATTGTCGGGTACAATAGCCTCTAGTGGGGTCTCCCAAGGTAAACTGTTCCTATGAAAGGAGCCAGGCTTAGAACTATTCTATGACCCTGATGAATCTGAGAAGCTTCTGTATCTCGCCTGGAATAGGAAGACCGAGGCCCTCTGGGACTGGTTCCAGGAGGGGGCCTTGGGCTCCCTGTTCCAGGCACTGGTGAACATCTTGTCGCAAAGTCTTCATCTGTTAGGCCTGGCCAGGCACAGCCAAAGAAGTGATATAGAGGCACCGCCTAGTGGGCCCACCACCTGTAGGTATGGGCAAAGGTAAGGGGTAAGGCTCAAGGGGCGATGCATTTGTTGTGTCCACCCCTCACCCTTGGTCATAAGCTCTTGGGTAGTGAGTGAAATAAAAAAAGTTGCGGATACAAGTGGCCAAAATGAGATTCCTCTGGTGGGTGGCTGGGCCCTCAAGGATGAGGAGCTAGGACATCCAGTGGTAGCTCAGAGTAGAGTTGCTGCTACTTGCCCCCTAAGTGCCTTCCTTTGGATGTTTTCTGGGCACACCCAACTTGAAGCAGACACGAGGATTTCCTCAGAACTCTTTGAAAGGATTTCATTTCTCATCTGGCCTGAGAACAGCTTGGTAGCCCTAG